TAAAAGCCAACAAGGAGGCTTGCCCCCAAGGAAGCTGGAAGGGGGCAGGCATGGTCAGACGTCCCTTCTCCCCTCCTCCTCATGCCCACACTTAAGGGCCAGGAAAGAAAGCTGGTGATGACTCTGCCTCTTGCTTCTGCCCCTCTCAGCTACCCTCTGCTGTCACCCCCTGCCCCATCGCCCCACAGCGAAGCACTTCCTGTGGGCACAAGTCCCAGATCCTGCCCTGTTGCTGGGATATCATGGCTGCCTTCGGTCACACTGCAGCCAAGGGGATCTGTACATCTGGTGCAGAGGGGAGGAGGGGCAGGCAGCAGAAGTGCAGGGGAAAGCCATGGGTCAGGAATGGGGAGTAAGTGGCCAAGCCAGATGCTACCCAAGGAATCCCCAGGGCCAGGGCCAGGGCAGGGTGGGGCAGGGGTTCCAGAGATGCTGCAAGCATTGCCAAGTTCCCTCTGCTACCTTGTCAAATGTAGAGACCAGGTGTGGTCAACAGGGAACAGCAGGGGTTGCGGCCAAGGAAGCCACAAAGCACCCCCCGTAAGGCATTTCGTTTGAGGATGTCAGATGTGCGGTGGAATCCTGTTTGCAACCCATAGGTTTTTTTTTTTTTCTTCACTGGAGCTCTCTATGCCTCCATTTCCTCACTTGGAAATGAGAAATAAAGAAATAAATGAGCTGTAAGAGTCCATTATGATAACACTTTTTTGAGCATGACACCATTCGAGGTCCTGTACATGCAGCGTGCAGCAGAATACTTAGCCCTCACTATAGCACTGTTAGTCTGGGTGTGCAAACAGAGGCACAGCAGGGTTAAGCAGCTCGCCCAGGGCCACACAGCTGGTAAGTGGCAGAGGTGGGATTCCAAGCCAAACAGCCTAGCCCCAGAGCTCATGCTCTTAACAATCTCCTGGCTAGGTGGCACTTAGCTAGTGCTCAGTACATGCTGGCTGTGACTATGTCCCAGGAAAAACTGGCTGGTCACACCATCAGGGCCAGCCTATAGCTACAACTCTACTGAGTGGACTTCAGCAGTACCCCCTACCACACCCCCCACCATACACACACACACACACACACACACACACACACACACACACACAAAACACGTCCCTCCCTTTTGGAAGCCTCTCCTGTCCAGGTGCCTTTGCCAAAGATAGGTAGAGGGTTCACATTGGAGGGCACCCCACAGATGATCTAGGTACACAGATGTGGAAACTGAGGCTGAGAGGAGCAGGGACCTGCCCCAGACACATAGCCTGTCAGTGAGAGGACACCAGTAGGCTCACGACTTTGGCCGCGGCTCATCCTCCCTCCGTAGCTGCTACAGACTTGTCCCCACATCTGAGTAAACACGTGCCTAGTGAGGGCTTTGCTGTAAGTTAATGTGTGAGGTTACCAAGGAGACCCAGGAAGCCTGGTCTGAACTCCTCTCCCTGGGCAGGTCGGGAGAGCTCTCGGCACAGAACTCTGGTCACCTGTGTCAGCAGCTCAGCAGCACTGCCGGGAGACAGGTGCAGTCCTGGGGCAGAGGCCTCAGCAAGCTCCCACCCCTGCTCAGAGAAGGACACCCTGTTGGGGAAGAGAAGGTTGCAAGACCACCCTCTGCCCACCTTTTCGGACAGAACGCCTAAGAAACCCTGAAGTGGTCTTCTTTAGAGATTGAGAACATGGATTTTGGAGTCACTTGGGCCCAGGTTAGAATCTCTACCACTCTGAAGCTGTGTGACTTCAGGCAACTTGCTTAACTTCTCTGAATCTATGTAATGAAAACAATCATCCCTACTTCGTTCCAAAGAGCAAACACACAATATAAATGTTGGCAACTATTGTTTATAACTTTATTAGGATATTGTTCTATTAGAGCATAGAGACGAGATGAATATTCTAATATAATATCGTGTGATATTCTCATAGACACACACGTACACAATTCATCTGTACACATGTATCTAGATACCTAGAATCTCATAACCACACACACAAAACTCGTATCAATCTCACTCACCCACAGTGGAACACACAGTAACCCTATGGACTCACCATGTACCAGGCACTGCTCCACCCTGAATCCTCACAAGAGCCCAGAAGGAGCGTGTGTTTGTCTCTCTCTTTTTTCAGATGAGGATATACACCTTACGTGCATATGCACTTGCTGCATCCTGGGACGTTGACACTTCTAGCAGCACTAGAAATCCCGAACTCCCTCCCTCTGGAGCAGAGGAGGTCAACCCAACTTCCACGGTCATCTCGAGGGCAGCCCCAAGCTGGGCCCCAAGTGCTGACTGCCCTCCATCCCTAGGACAAAGGCCCAACCTGGCTTTCATGCCAGCTGCGGTTGGGGAACCCCCCTGCTGCCGGCTGCCGGCAGAAACCAAGTTGACTTTGAAAAGGAAGAGACAGAAGCCAGGGGGTGGCTGAGCCACTCCCTGTGGGGGCAGGTGCTAAGTAACTCTATAAACTCCAGCTAATGATACAATTACAGCCATAAACAAAGCTCCAAGAGGAATCAGGGCCAGAAGCCAGACCCTCAAAGGACAGCCAGGCCTGAAGGGTGGGAGGCTGAAAGGGGGCCTCAATGGCAATGGAGGTGGGCATTGGGTATCCCAGCATCCCAGGCCCCTGGATGGGCTCCTGCCTGCCCTAGCCCACCCCCTGTCCATCTGACTGTGAGTCACCCTGCCATCAGCCCTCGGAAGCCCAGCTAGTTTTCCATGAATGTAGTCTTCACCTGAGGGGATGTCCCCTGCCCCATGCCCTGCACCACTTCCATGGGAGCTGGAATAGGATTCTGACTTGTCTGCACCTCGCAGAGGGCAAAATAGCACTGTAGCTGTAACAGGCCTTGTAAACTGTAAGTAACGTTGGCCCCCTTCCAGAGAAGCGAGCACAGAGTCACCCAAACGGCACTTCATTTACACTTTCTGGTTCCCAGTTCTCCCACCCCAGCAGTTGGGGGCGGGGGGGGGGGGGGGGGGCAGGCAGAAAGAAGGTGACCAAGTAAATTGCTTTTACCCATGACTGGGTAAACTGAGGCATGGCACCAGCATACCAGCAGACTACCACGCAGGACTCTCCCCTCCATTGTGTCTAAGACTGGCCTTTATCGCTGGCATCTCTCCCCCCGACTGTGATCTGCCTGAGGGCAGGGCCTAGAGGCTGTCCACCAGGCTGGGCACGGAGAAAGCCTCAGCGCGAACAGGCTAAGGAGCCAAGAACTACGTTCTGATCTGAGCCAACCGCATCTGGCCGCCCAAGAGGAAACCAGAGCTACCTCCTCCCCCCACCCCAAGAATTGCCAGGTCTTGGGCCAGTGGAATCTTGGACCGGGAGGGTGCAGGGGCCCGAGCCCACATCGGAGAAGTATCACTAAGGGCCTGCATCGGCCTTGCCCCTTCCCTGCTCAACTAAGACCCCTCACTCAGGGTGGGGTCTGGGCGGCAGTTAACACTTCTCCGGCGGACGCAAAACCAAAGAAAGCACCGCATTCAACGCCAGTCCGAAACCGTTCGCGCCGAACAGTCCCCAGAACAGACGGGCGAGAGACTCCCGGCTGGAGTGGACTGTGATGGGAAGGGCTCCGCGGTGATCGGCCGCCAGAGAGCGGGGAGGGGAGCTCCGGGCAGTGCGGACGCGCGTGCAGACGAGCCCCGCCCCGGGCGCCCTCCCTTCTTCCCCCCCTGTGCGCGGGGCTGGGGCACGCCAGGCGGCTGCGGCGCGAACCTGCTCGCGCAAACCGGAGCAGCTCGGGGCAGCCGTGCGTGAAGCCAGAACCCCTGGCCGAGAAGGGGCCAAGGGGCGGGAACGGAGCTGACATCAACCCTCTCCCTTCAAGGAGGGAAGTGCACGCGCGGCGCCCGCGTAGCGACCCGGGTTCGGGGAGGTGGGGAGAAGACTGAACGCGGACTTAGGGGGCGGGGCAGCATGGGGTTGGGCGGTGCGAACTAAGGGAATAAGGGGAAGGGGGCGTGTTTTCCGGGATTCGGGACCTAGAAGGTGGGGGGTACTCGGGGACGGGCAGATGGCCGGGAGCTCCCGGGAAGTAAAAAGAGGGGCGCGCGGAGGGCGAGCTCTGCGCTTGGGGCTCCCACAGGTCGGGGAATAATGCAAGGAGGAGAAAAAGACAGAGCTCAGGGATACCAGGGGACGCGGGCAGCGGCGGCTTCTTCAAGACACCGAGGGAGAAGAAGGGACGGGAAGGGGGGTGGGGAGGATGGTACTTCCACCCGCCCCCCTCCAGCCCGGGGGCGTGGCGCCGCCCCGGCCCTCCCACTCCCCCGGACCATCCAGGTTGGGCCTGGCCGGGCCAGACTCGGCCCCCGCACACCTCCCGGGCCTCCGGCGCCGTCCCCCGTACCACCCGCCCCAACCGCCTCCGGTGGAGAAGGAGTAGGCGCAAGGCCCACACGTCCCTCAAACTTGTTGCAAGTTCACTCCCACGCCTCCCGCCCCTTCGACTCCCAGCTCCGGAGCCGGGAAGGCCCATGCCCGCCCCGGCCCCTCCCGCCTGGTTACATAAGGTCGCAGAGAAGCCGCCCCCGGCCCGGGCCTGCAGTGAGGGGCCGGAGGAGTTCCTGGGCTCGGCGGGCAGCGCCGCTCCGGCCATGTGCCCAACGTCTCGGGCTAGACGGACAGCGGGGCGGGTGGCGGCGCGGCGCACACACTCCCTGTCCCCTCTTCAGCCGGCACCCCCATCCACCCACCTGTCTCCCGGACCCACAGAATCAGGGCGGAGGAGCCTGGGTCCGGGGTTCCCAGCCTTCCGCTCACCCTTTGGCCCTCGGTCCCTCTCACCTATCTCTGAAGGTCAATCCGTCCGCCGCCTGTCCCCCGCGGCTCCGGCAACTTGTCCCAAGTTCAGGTGTCCGGCCCGCGAGCTGCGCCTGCCGCCCCCTCCCGGACTCCTCCGGCTCCGCGCCACCGGGAAGACCCGCCCTGCCCGCCCTTTCACGCTGCCGTCGGCGCCGCCGCCGCTCCCTATGTCCAGCCCGCGGCCGCCGCCTCCGCTGTCACCGAGCCCCGCGCCCGGCGCCAGGGCTCCCACTGTCAATCCGCACCCACTTCCCGCCGCGCCCGGCAGAGGGCAGCACACGCCCCCCGCGGTCCCGCCCCGCCCTGCTCCGCCCCTCGAGGGCCTACCGCGGTGCCCGCGGGGAAATGTAGTCCCTCCCGTCGGTTCTGCCAGGGACGCCGGGATTTGTAGTCCCACTCTGCGGGCCCTGGCCTGGGTACGGGGGACTTGGCATTTAACTTGGAACTTATGTCGCACTTCGTTTCTGCCCCTTTTGCAAGTTTTTTTCTCTTCTCAGTCAGTGATGCCACGCACTCCAGCTCCCTATGTACACCCTGTGGCCTCTCTGACCCCAAGGAGAGGCCTGCAGGAGGCTGTCTTGCCTGGAGTCTAGGAAGGATATAGGGTCCCAGATAGTGTGCTGTTGCTATAGAAACTACTGCATGGCAAACCTCAGTTTCCCTCATGTTTGGGAGTGGAATGCCAGACTTGGATCTCGTGCTTTCACCCCTGCACCTGAACATAAGGGACAAGGCTGGGGTCAGGCTGATCAAGGACAGCATGGAAACATATGTCCAAGGAGCCTCCCTCCCTCCCATTGTGAGTTTTCCAATTATACCCCTCCTCAAGCCTCATCAGTCCTACCTGGCTGGTGACCCCCACCACCATGCTACAGGGAAACATTTTTCAGATCTGCTTCATATTATTCCCCTGTTGGAAGTTACATAGCTCTGAGCTACCCTTCTCTGCTTTCCCCACTTCCTCCTCTGCCCAGTACCACGTAGCCCCAGATCTGTGGGTCTTTGGCGGGTGGCTCCTAAGGAGAACAGGAATGAAATCTAGAGGGAGAAAACATCTCTTGTTCACTTCGTTACAACAAATGGGCTTGATTCCCCGGTGATTCCAAGTAGCTATTGCTCTTGTCCACAATTAAGGGCCAGCCCTTCTTCAAACAGACCCTTGGGGCATAAGGGTCTAGGTGTAAATATGATCAGTTTCACTCAACCCAGACCTTCTGACGCCCTCTTGGAAACAGGTTCTGGTAGCATCACCCTCCTCCCGGAAGGACCCATGATTGCCACGAGTGCACACAGGCATCCAGCATCTCTCAGAAATTCCCAGTGCAAACCTGATCACAGGTGAGGAGCCAAAGGCCTAGGTGTAGGATGCATTGGAAACCCCAGTCACAGTGCTAGAAAACTTGCCTGGGGTGATTCTGGTGGTCATTCGGTCAATTAAGTCAGCGGAGCATTTTGGGTGGTTGGGGTAAGACCCCTTGACCCATCACAAAGGAATGCCCTGCTTCAATGTCAACTACCACTGTCTTCTCTCTCCAGAGACAAGCTGTGAAGAGACTCCAAGCTCTGAGCGGTAGAGGGACCATTCCCCGAGCCCTACCTCATGCCCCATCCCTCTTAGAATCTCAGTAACCCTCCTCCCCCCTCCCACCCCTGGCCACCACAAACCTCCTAGCCGCTCAGGGAGAACATGGTCCAGTAGAGGCAAATCTAGGCCTGACTCCCACTCTTCCCCCCCCAATCTTGTGATAGGAGCTGCCTTACAGGCCACAACTGCCCTCTAAAAACAACACGCTGGCCAACATGGAAAAGAACTATTTATTATGAGAGAAAACCCAAAATCTAGAAAAAGAAGGCTGAGTCCAGAGAAGAAGCACACAGAGAAGCTTGGGGTGGGGGATCTAGAGGAAGAAGGGAGCCCAGGCGTCCAGGCACTCAGTCTAGGCGGCAACGGCAAAGCCCACCCTCTTGTTGCCAATGTCGAAGATGGAATAGTAGGACCTGAGGAAGACGTCCCCGAGGATCCACAGGGGCTGGCCACTGCTAGAGGGCAGGTAGGTGGCCTGGACTCTAATGGCACAAATGTCATTTCCCTGCACAGAAGGGTAGCACACATTCACTCATGCATGGACAGAGCCCTGCTCAGCCCTGAGCCCCAGGCCGGGAGCACAAACGCAGAAATGAGTGAGCCAGACGTTCTGCCCTTGAGGGCTCACAGGCCAACTGAGCCCCCAGAGCTGGGGCGGTGGGAGAGAGGTCTGGAATGGGTAAATGCACACTGCGGTAACCATCTATAGTCTCCTCTCCCCAGGTTCCCCTCCGCCTCTCTTTTGCTCCCCATTTGGAGTAGGTCAGCCTGGTTGGCAAAGCCTTGAAGCCAGCCCAACTTGGCTTCCAAACCTAGCTTCACGCTGACTGGCTGTGGAGCCTTGTGTCAGTGTCTTACCCTCTCTGAACCTCCAAGTTTTCACTTGTAAAATAGAAATTAGCGCCTCCCTCCTTGAATGCTGTGACATTCCGGTGGGACAGCGTAGGCAAACAGGGCTGACCCTAGCTAGTGCGCCACAAACAACCCAGTGCCCCTCCACACTGATTAATAATAATAATAAATAACAGATGACACTCTTCTGTGTCACAGCCTCGTGCCCGAGAAGGGGTTTGGAATCGGTGGGTGGACAACGTGAGGCAGCATTGCCAGGAGCTGGGAAATGGCACGTGGTGAGGAGACCCAACGCTTCCGGCTCCCAGCCCCTCCTCACACCCCGTCACATCCCTGCAGACTTACTCTGAAGAGGTACGAGGAATATGGCAGGGAGAACTGCACACGATTGATGAGGAAGGTCAAGGTGGGCAGGCTCTGGACGTTGTTACAGTCCACCATAAACTGCAGAGAGGAACAGAGCCCAAGGGTCTCATCGTCCACATCAGAGGACCTGCCAGCCCCACCTCAGCCACCCCGGCCCTCCTCCCCCACTCGGCCCCACATTCCAGCTCTCTTGCTCTTACTCCCAAGCCTGGCAAGTGTTGAACCAGTTTCCTTTGAGGGGTGAAGCTCCAAGGAAATTTTGCTGAGTAGTAACCTCCCCATGTCCCCTCAGGACAAGGTGCCAGCCCCCCCTGAATCCGCCAACGGGCCCACAGCCCCAGACATCCCAGAGCCCCCCACCTCCAGTGCTTCGGGGCAGCTAGAAGCATGGAGGCCAAGAGTCGGGCTGTTCCTGTGCCGGAGGAGGATCATAAATGCCTCCTGGAGAGTCTCTCTAAAAGAAGGGGGATGTCTCCACCAGACGCACCTGTCCATACTGGTCCGCCTGGGCCCCTGTAGCCTGCAGAAGGTAACTCAGGTACTGCTGGGGAACCGTGAGCAGAGATGTGCCTGTGTCCACGATGGCCTCGCAGCCCTGGGAGCACCAGCCGGTGGCATGGCCACCAATGAGGAACCTGAAGGTGAAGAGACGAACCCCCTCAGCACCCCCAGCTCAGGGCAGCTGGGAAGTGGGCTTTCCCCACCACTGAGGGACAGACAGCTACAGCCATAGAATCAAGGTGCACCTCAGACAAGTAGGACTCTGCAGAGATCAATCCAGCCATCCCCCTGACCTACACCATACCAGACTCTACCCAAAGCCACCTAACGGGTCATGGAATGTCTTTCTTACCAGTTCCAAGGAAGGTTCTAGAAACACCGAAAGCCGGGGTCACTGATTCTTTGTGAGTACGTTGAGTACGTTGATCCCCCCACATACATCCCAGTTTCTAATCTCTAAGCACATAGTGGTGGACCACAGGGTCTATGTTTGGAATTCTAAGACCTACCCTGTATGTCGTCCCCACCCCACCCCGTTTTTCCAGGCTGAGCTGGACCTTCGATCTCCAGCAGAGGACAGCTGTAGCTTTGTGGGGACAGGCCTCAGAGGTCCTCTATCCCCACCTGCCAGCAGTACCTTCCTGTGTGTGTCCATCTCTGTGTATTTGTGTGTGTGTGTGTGTGTGTGTGTGTGTGTGTGTGTGTGACATGAAATGCCTCAAAGCCTGCCCACGTGCCTGGGACCCCACCATAGACTCACTCCTCAAAGCCAATCTGCCAGTAGCGCTCCTGAGTGACAGGGGCCCAGTAAATCGGACCCCTGTGCAGGCTGTGGTCGATCCCCCCGAATATGAGAACTGCTCCTTTCTGAGGGTTCATCTGTCTGCAGAAGGCAAAGAGAAGAGTGAGTCAGGGAATGACTATGGAAAAGATTTCCTACTGAGTAATCACTCTCAGAGGGAAATAGAGGTCTTGCCCTGGCTGCAGGCTGGGGGGGGGGGGTCCCCGAGGTGGGTCTGTGTCTCCCCCTCAGATTAGGGCTCCCTGACAGCATGGCTGTGTCTCTTCCCTCAGACTGGGGCTCCCTGAGGTTGGCTCTGTCTCCCCCATCAGACTCCCCGAAGGCAGGGCTGTGTCTGCCCATCGCAATGGGATTCCCCATGCTGTGTCTACCCCTCGCACTGTGGAAGCCTGAGGGAAGGGATTTTTGTCCCCCTTTTTGACTATAGCTCCAAGCTGAGCCCCTCAGCATTCCCATGCCTCAGGTTCCAGATACCGCTGCCCCACAAGGCCCTGCTTCAGAGAAAGCCACTGGTTGTATAGGTTCCCTGTGCACACCCCTCCCCCCCACCCCACATGCCCTTCTCCTGTCCCTTCCGCTTCTTGCTGCTTCATGTCATATGTCAGTGGGAGCCTGACACTGAGCCCCACTTGTCATTTTTCTACTGGGACCGGAGGGAGGTAGGTCCTTGGCAGAGAGGAAGGGAGGGTTTTTCGTGTGTGTTTCAGCCTCCCCTGGTGGTTGAACCTGAGTGTGGAATTGGACAGAGTTCCTAAGGGCTAAACTCAAAGCTAATTGTAATCAGAGGTAGAGAGTTAAAGTCCGCAACATTAGAAACAGAGTAATCTTGAAAGTCAGAGTCAAGCGATTAAACCCCAGATAGCAGATGCTGACTATCTCCAGAAGGTGGCTGACTAGCTCTGGAGAGGAAAAGAAGGAAAGTCCATTCCAGGCCACTCACCCCTGCCCCCACCCTCTGGCTCCTGGGCCATCGCTTGTGTGTTGTGAGGAAAACAACTTGTCAGGGGCAAATGATGAAGGTAGACCAGAAGGCTCCAGGACGTGGCTAGAACAATAGATCAAAGGAGATGAGGCCATCGATTATTATACAAAAGAAGTGTCCAGGTAGAAAATATTGGCTCAGAAGGCAATGAGCTAATGGAGGCTCTGGGCAGCAGGTAAATCCAAGATGTATCGAGAATCAGCAGCCACACTCAAAGCTAAGTTCACCCAGAAGAGGGAAAGATTCTGACCTGGACTAGAGACGCAAAGAAAAGTCAGAGTGGGCTGGGGACAGACGCAGGGATGGGGGAAAGGGTGTGGAGTGAGGGACAGTTCAGAAGCCCAGGAAGAAGGGGCGCCTGGGTGGCTCAGTCAGTTAGGCGGCCGACTTCGGCTCAGGTCATGATCTCGCGGTCTGTGAGTTCGAGCCCCGCGTCTGGCTCTGTGCGGACAGCTCGGATCCTGGAGCCTCCTTCGGATTCTGCGTCCCTACTCTCTCTCTACCACTCCCCCACTCATGCTGTGTCTCGCTCTGTCTCTCAAAAATCAATGTTAAGAAGCCCAGGAAGAAAACGCTAGACACGGGAGTAGCTGGAGCCATTCCCTAATGGGAGCCCTCCAAACCCCAAAGCATTGAGCCTCACCCTTTTCCAGGGTCTGGGGGAAAACGGAGGGAGTTGCCTGGGAACTAAGGACACGCAAGCAGTTTCTTACCTGCCCAGGTAGAAGCTGAAGACTGGGCTGGAGAGGACGCCTGCCCGCAGCATGCCCTGCAGGGGGGTGGTGGTCCTACCCTCTGCCAGGGAAGGGAAGGCCAGGCCCATGATGCCATCAAACTTTGCATGGAGGAAATAGGGACTTGGCTCATGCTCACTCAGGCCAAACTGCTGGCTGGGAACCTGGATGCTCTGGACCTGGAGGGGGCGCGGGGGATGAGAGGTGATAAGTGTAACTCTACCCACCTCCCCCCCGCAGAGGCTCCCTTGAGCATCCCTCCATCGCCTTTGCCCCTTGCCTTCTTGACCGGTCTCACAAGAACCACTTTCACTCTCAAACGGCCTCACTGAGCCCTGCCGCCCCCCCCCCCCCGCCCCCACCCTTCATCTTCCCCCAGCTTTAAGCCTCTTAAGGAGAGGACCAGGTGTCCTGGGTGCCTGGCACATGATGCAGTCAGGGAGGGCCGGGTGACTGCACGAAGGAGCCCCGGGGGGGTACTGATTTCCCGGCCTGTACGCAGTAAAGCACTAGGAGTTTTCCCATATTTTCCAGCATCTCCATCTGACCTCCCATGAGACGGTGAGGTCTGTGAGGTTCCAACCCGGCTCAGAGCCCCAGGGACAGTCCCCACGTCCCGGGGCAGGGAGCAGCCTGCCACGTGGCTCACCCTTAGAGTGTCATAGCCGTAGATGCCGCGGAGGCCGCCACTGCCGTATCGCACGGAGAAGATCTGCCCGTTGCTGGAGTAAGTAGAGGACGCGTTGGAGTTGAAGTGGGAGTGACCGGCTGCAGTGGGAGGGAGGGTTTGGGGAGGCAGGCTGGCAGGGGGAGGGAGGTCCACCTCTGTCCCAGCCTGTGCTCACATCCTGGGGCCTCAGCATCCCTGGCCACGGAGTCAAGGGGTGGCCAGCCAAGGGGGTTCCCAGCATTGGCCTCAAAGCCCCCTCTGATTTACAGACCCTTGGGGTGCCCTTTGACCGTGACCCTCCGGGGCAGGATGCATAGAATCCCTCTCCACCTCCCTGGTTCCCTTTCTATCCCCACCCCACCCCCATCAGCTGTAGGGGCAGGTGAACCCCAGGGCATGCCGCACTCCCCCCACCCTCGCCCCATCAAGAAACTGGTCATACCAGGAAGCTGAGAGATTAGGAACAAGGCCAACGAGGCATTCTTGGGAGAAAAAGTGTCAGGACCCACACCCCAAAGCTCTGGCAGGGACCAGGGCAGCCTTAAGGAGGGGAACTTGGCCTGTCTTGAAATATAACTGCAAGGGGGTGCCCGGGTGGCTCAGTTGGTTGAGCGTCCGGCTCTTGATTTTCGCTCAGGTCATGAGTTCACAGTTCGTGCTATCAAGCCCGGGGTCGGGCTCTGCACTGACAGTGTGGAGCCTGCTTAGGATCCTCTCCCTCCCTCTCTCTCTGCCCCTCCCCTGAATGCTCGATCTCTCTCTCTCTCTCTCTCTCTCAAAATAAATAAATAAAAACATTAAAAAAAAAAAAAAAGAAATACAACGACAATACAGGGACCACATCCTATACTGTTGTCCCATGTGTCTAGGGAGACTCTCAATGAGAACTTCGTGAAGAGTGGAGAGAGTGGAAGAGAAAGAATGTTGTAGATGCTGGTGGGAGGGAATGGCCTTATCTGCAGTGAACAGAATGGAGCAGAGAGAAGTGGGCCGGATGCGTGGGTGAGAGGGAAGGCAAAGTAATCACCCAGCTCCACGGCCGGCCTCTTCTCCTCTCTGTCTTGCACACGCCCCTTGATCCTGGCCAAGTCCCTGACTCTCAGGATTGAAGTGCCCCGGTCTCACAGTCCCTCACCGGCCACCTGTCCTTGCAAGCCCAGCACTTACCACAGGCCTGGCTCTGGCAGTGGACAGAGGGCACCCACAGGCTGGAGGAACCAGTATCAAAAAGGACGAGGAAGTTCTGCGGAGGAGTCCCAATGCTGATCTCACCAAGGTAGAGACTCTGGGGGGGGGGGGGCATGGGGCAGGCTCTTAGCTCTGCAGGGATCCAGGGACCCTCAGGCCCAGCCAGACCTCCATGGACAGAGCCCCTGCCCTATAACCCACACCAGAGGGAGAGGCCCGAGCCTAGCTCCCGTACTTTCCCGGAACACAGAGCCCTTCAGGCCAGTCTGACAGGCCCCAGGGGCTTTATGGGAGGGTGCAAAGTAGATGGTGCAGCACACCCCCAGGGCCTGGCCTCAGACTTTGCCGGTAGAGAGAGGGAGCCCCAGGGAGGGCGTCAGGACTCACCTCCAGGAAGGCCAGGGGCTCGTAGACGGCACTGAGGTTGCCAAAGTGGTACTTCTGCACAGGGTCGTGCTTGGGGGTCCTCAGGAACTCCCCCAGTAAGCCCTTCTCCTTCATGGTCTCCCAGATGGACTCTCGTTTGCTCAGGGGGACTCTGCAGAGGGACTGGGGTCAGGAAGGGGCCTCCCTCATTCCTACAGCACCTCTGATGGTCCCAGTCCCTTCTCCCCCCTACCCACCCGCCTCTCCATCTCCAGCCACATGCCCCAGACTCCCTGCTCCTCTGTCCCGTGTGCCCATCTGCTCTGGCTCCAGCTCTGGCCCTTTCTCTCTGTCTCTGTCTCTGTCTCTTTCTTTGGGTTTATCCCTCTGTCTCTTTCTCCCTCTGCCTCCCTCTTTGCCTCTCCCTCTCTTCTTTCAAAAATCTTCTCAGGGGGCGCCTGGGTGGCGCAGTCGGTTAAGCGTCCGACTTCGGCCAGGTCACGATCTCGCGGTCCGTGGGTTCGAGCCCCGCGTCAGGCTCTGGGCTGATGGCTCAGAGCCTGGAGCCTGTTTCCGATTCTGTGTCTCCCTCTCTCTCTGCCCCTCCCCCTTTCACGCTCTGTCTCTCTTTCCCAAAAAAAAAAAAAACTTAAAAAAAAAATTAAAAAAAAAAAAAATCTTCTCAGGACTTGCTCCAAGATTCAGAAAACAAATACCTCCACCCATGCCTGCCCACATCTCATCTCAAGGCTCCTCATCCTTCCCTGGCCCTCTGTTCTCAGGTATCCCATAAATTCCTTCCCAGAAAGGGGAGGGGACTTCGGCCATTACCCTTGGCAGGATATACGCTTTCTCTTTTATGTAAGCTCTGCGTGCAACGTAGGGCTTGAATTCAGGACCCTGAGATCAAGAGTTGCGTGCTCTACTGAGTACGCCAGCCAGGCAGCCCAGGATATGTGCATTTATAAGAAAGATTTCAGAGATGGCAGAGCTCCCCCCAGATCCTCTGCTGTGGTGGTCCTCAGGCACCTGATCCCGGCTGATGTGACAGAGCATGGGTAGAGGGGACAGCACTAGACTGGGACTCAGAAGACAGGGTCCCAGGTCTGCCCACACTGCTAATCCCCTAGCCTGGGGCTCATCACTGCTCTTCTTCAGACACCAGGCAATGCGGAAGTTGGCCTGGGTGGTCTGGGGCCCAGATCAGCTCTGGAATTGGAACTTCTGAGTTCTGGGCTTCTGCCCCCATCCCCTTGGCTGTCCTCCTCCAAGACCAGCTTGCTGTCATTACATAAGGGGCCTCTGTGGGTCCACCCAGGCTCGTTCCGGACTCCAGAAGTGCTGCTTCTTTCTTTTCTTTCCCCATCTGAATCCCCATTCCGTCAGGACCCCTCATTCTTCCGAAATTCTTAGCTACAGCCATTCACATTGAGCTGTGAAAACTGACGGTTGCTTGGCTCACCATCTCGACAGAATTTGCATACTGCAAACAGATTTCTCAGAGGAGCTGGAGGCATCAGTCTTTAAGGGTCACATAGCAAGCAGTGTGCAGGCCGGGAGCGCTCTGGAGGTCCTGGACGCCACGCCTCCTTCTCCCTTTCTTCTGACACCTTACCTGGCATGCAGACATCACCTTACCGCTGTTTCTGCTTCAATGATTGTGCCATCTGCGCTATAAATTTTGGGCCTTAAGGGAATTTTTAGCAAATGTCTGCCTATCCAGAAATAATCGTTCCTTTCTGCAGGAGGAAAGCAATCCTGCCATCCGGGATCTGTTTGGACAGCAGTCACCCTTACTACCCTGTGCCGGGTCCTTCTTTTCTCATCAGAGGAGAAAGCGCTTCTGCTTTTCCCTTCGCCCAAAAGTGCAACCACCAACAGAATTAAGTCTGCAGAAAGGCATGTGGCCCCAGGTTAAAGATTACAGGGGAAAACCCCAGGATGCTGAAGACAATGAAAACAAAGCCCAGGAGAACAAGAAATGAATTAGCCCGCGCAATCACAAGGTGTGTGGCCTCTGCTTTTGTTACCAGAGATAGCATCACTCACACAAATTGCTGAGATGTTTTGCAGATCCAGACCAGGGAAGGGAATGACCACCCAGTCACAGTTGATGAAACCGGACAGACCAGGGCCGGAAAGACAAGTCAATCAGTCCTGAAGTTGACCCGATCCCTGACCCATCAGAAGAACCCACGACTCTCAGCCCCCTACCCTGCGTTCAACATTAACGCCCCGTTCTCTGAGTGGTGTAACACCAGTAAAGAAGCCTATCTTTCTTCACTGTGAATGCTCAGTGTCTGTCTGTTGTAAAGGCTTGCTGTGCATCTAGTGGACAAACTCTCCTTTGGTTCAGTTGTAGACGTTTCCTGAGGGCAAAGGTTGTAGCCCCTTCTGCCTCGGACGCCCCAACCCACACCTGCTCCGACAGCCAGGCCCCAGACTCACTTGACCACTGCGGCCTCCAAGAGCTGGAGGCTGGCCAAGGCCACCACCATCCACTTCATGGTTCTTGTTCCCAGCTGGCCACAGAGGGAGAGCCACTCCAAGTTGACTGTTGCAGTGGAGGGAAGGCCCTGAGCACTCCTTCTGCCTTTATACCCCCCGGGATCGAGCCCAGTCCCTGCCTCCCGGCCCTAGGCAAAAGTGTGACCTCAATCCCGAGTGCACCCTGTGCTCCGGGTGTCTGTGGTTTCTGTGCGTTTTCCTTCTGGAGGGTGGCCACAGAGCACTTTCTTCTTCACTTTTTAATACAAGCAGAGGACACCAAACAAGTGTGCATAAGAGTTGCCATAAGATGGGCTGGTGAGGATTTCTTCTTGTCCAGGAACAGTGGCATGATGTGCGCATTTTGGGGTGAGGGCCAGAGTCAGGTAGACTGAGGGCCGTAGGGCCTCCACGGGCAAGTTTTCACATCCTCAACACTATTGCCATTTTGGAACATATAATTTTTAGGGGCGGGCGGGGAGCTGTCCTGTGCACTGTAGATGTCTAGCAGTATTCCTGACCTCTATGCACGGGATGTCACCAGCAGGACCCTAGTTGTGACAAACAAAAATGTCTCAGGGCATGGCCCAGTGTCCACCTAAGGGGCAAAATTGTTGAGCATCCCTGGTCTGGACACGATGCACTCGGAAGTCTGGCCAAATCCTGGTTTCCAGCACCCCCCAAGACCTCGTGGGATGCAATTTGGTTGACTGGGGGATGATGGGGTCGGTACCTGGGATGATGGTAATGACCATGTGGTAGTGAGGGCGGTGTTGGTGGTGACGATGACGGCAATATCCTTAGCTCTAAAGCAGGTGCTGAGGCTGAGATGCCAGTGGCTGAGGTCAGAGCTATTTGCAGCAAAAGGGGGTCAAATGGAGAGATTGTCATCATGGTTCAGCAGGTGCTGGGGACACACCCCTGATGTAAATTACACTGGCTGTTCCACTTGTACTGATTTGCAACAAAGGGAGGCCTGGGGCAGAGGCAGTGGAGGAGGGGACAGCCAGAACTTGCCTCTGTTCATTGTCTCTCTTCTCCGGCCCCATTAGACTTCCCCTGTCTTTAGCGCTCCTGAAATGCCTGTGTCCCCCAGGGCTGTCATGTGCTGCTTTTCTGCCCCTGAGTCTAGTCAACCCAGGCCTCTCTCCCTCGTCTGCTGGCCCTCCCTGCTTCCTGGCTACAAGTTTCTCATTGCCTGAGATGATCCGGAGCTGGCCCAGTGTGCACCAGCCTGGCACAAGAGAGCGCCCACTTTGGGGTGAGTAGAAAAATATCCCCGTGTCAAAACGCTCCGTGCCCCCTTGTAGCGCACACTCAGGGCCCCAAACACATTTGTCAGGCCCTCCAGCCCCACACCAAAGGCCACAACCGGGCCTGCAGACACTGACATGACCCAGCCGGTGGGGGGGTTTCTCCTTGGCCACCAGCATCCACCGTCCAGCCAGAGCCCCAGAGCCTCCCCTAGTCCTACGATGGGGGAGGGGAAGAGGGCACTAGACATCTTCCCAGGCCCGGCCCAGAATGGGATGCACCTGCCTAATTGTGTCCCTGCAGTCCCCAGGGTCCCCAGGAGTCCGAGATGGAAGGAAGACAAGGGAATGAAGAAGTGTTTTCCCCAGAGCAGGGGACCCGAAGATTTGGAAGAGCAGGCCAAAGAAAGGCATAGGTTCATTGGAATCTTGACAAAACCTATGAATACACCAGAACCTATGGGATCCCCTAAGTCTTGTGAGGCCTGCCAGACTCCCCAGCATGGGGCCACCAGGGACCATTTCCTTATCTGGTAGGACCCCAGGAGTCTGACACCTGCCAGGCTAACCTTCCCCCCAACCCCAGCCACACCACATCCCTTTGAGCATCCCTGGCCCACTGCTTCAAGCCAGGCCTCCCTTCTTGGCTGCCAGGCCCTGGGGGGTCTGCACCCCCTACCTACCCAACCTGATCT